GCCCAGGCTGGCATGAAGTGGCATGACCTTGGCTCACTGCAACGTCTGCTCCCTGGGTTCAAGCGACTCTCCTGCCTCAGCCTCCTGAGTATCTGGGATTACATGCATCCAGCACCCCACCTGGCTAATTTTTGTATTTTAGTAGAGACGGGGTTTTGCCATGTTGGCCAGGCTGGTCTCAAACTCCTGACCTCAGAATCCACCTGCCTCGTCCTCCCAAAATGCAGGGATTACAGGCATGAGCCACTGCGCCTGGCCTATATGAGTGGGGACCTTTGTATTGTTCACTGCCTAGCACAATGCATGACACATAGTAGGTACTTGGTAAATATTTGTTAAATGAATGTATTAAATTATCCAAACACAACCTTCAGCTGCCCTCCTCCCACCCAGTCATGAGCTCAGCAGAGGCCCCAGCCCCTGCTTTTCCAGCTTTCCTTTAGTTGGACTTTCACCCCAACCCCATCTCCTTCTTCAGCCCTAACCCAATTCTTGGAAACACTATGTTCTTATTTCAGCTCCACTAATTGATTTCAAAACCATGTACTGGACAATGCTGGATATAATACGCTCCCCGAATGCACTAATTTCCACCTTCACCTCAAGTACATTCTGACTCTTGAAAACACCCAGCACCACCTTCTTAAAATAGGGATAGAAAGGGAAGATATGTGGGCAGATGAAAGTAAAGGAAAGGGGCCCGGTGCAGTGGCTCAGGCTTGTAATCCCAGCGCTTTGGGAGGCTGAGGCAGTTGGATCACCTGAGGTCAGGAGTTCAAGACCAGCCCGGCCAACATGGTGAAACCCCATCTCTACTAAATATACAAAAATTAGCCAGGTGCGTTGGCTCACACCTGTAAGTCCAGCACTTTGGGAGGCTGAGGCGGGTGGATCACCTGAGGTCAGGAGTTCAAGACCATCCTGGCCAACATGGTAAAACCCTGTCTGCACTAAAAATACAAAAATTAGCTGGATGTGGTGGGCGCCTGTAATCCCAGCTACTTGGGAGTCTGAGGCAGGAGAATCGCTTGAACCCGGGAGGCAGAGGTTACAGTGAGCTGAGATCACGACGCTACATGACAGCCTGGCAACAGAGTGAGATTCCGTCTCAAAAAAAAAAAAATTAGCAGGGTGTGATGGCAGTCGCCTGTATTGTTAACTATTTGACAACTGATGAGGGAGAATCACGCCGAGATCATGCCACTGCACTCCAGCCTGGTGAAAGAGCAAGACTTCATGTAAAAATAAAAATAAATAAATAAACAAACAAATAGGAAAAGGAAAGAGAGAGAGAGGGAAAAGAAAAGGCTGTCGGATCTCAGATGACCTAAAGAGATCTTCCTCTCCAGTTTCATTCCCAACCTCAAGAACCTGGTTTGGGGAGCGATAGTGAGAAAAACCAAAGTTCACCTCCTTTTCTCCCACAGATCTGGGCATGCTCAGCGAGAACATTCCCAAGGAGAAAGGTGCCTGAAGTCTCAGATATCTACGAACCCCAGTTCCTATCCTCCTTCTCCAGCTCCTGTTCCCTCCGAAACCCTTTCTAGGTACCCCATGCTGTGACTAAGATCCTAAAGTTAAGTACTCGGGTCTCATGAAGACATTGGGAAGCACTGCCTTACTCTAAAAAATGTCTGGACTGTCTTTTCATTGATTCATCCTTGGAATCAGTATAACGTGTTGTTAATGAACCAATAGTAATTTGAGGACTGTTTGGAAGATTCTGGGGTAATCAGGGAATATTCCTGCAACACATTTAAAGTAATTGTGTTCTTTCAAATCATTCTAATTATAACATGAGCTATTGAATAATACAAATAACACTCTTAAGTCTGAGAGTCTGTGACTTGACTTGAAAACATTCTTCAAAGTAGCATACTTTTATCCATGTGAGTCTCCTCCAGAAATAAAGAGAGGCAGTTTGAAGCAGAATGGAGAGAATAAAATATTTCTTGTCAAATTGTCGGTTTGTTTCCTTTTAATTAGTCTGGGAATTTTTTTTTCTTTTGTTTTTTTTTTTTTGAGACAAAGTCTCACTCGGTCACCCAGGCTGGAGTGCAGTGGCACCATCTTGGCTCACTGCAACCTCTGCCACCCATGTTCAGCAATTCTCCTGCCTCAGCTTCCCGAGTAGCTGGGACTACACGCATAGTCTGGGAATTTTTTAGAGGTAGCAAAATCCAGGATGATAGAGTCAGGAGTGGGACTGGGAAAATATAACTTATTGGAGGGAATAGATTTTGGATTATTGTTCTGCTGAAAGTTTTACTTTCATTTTGGGTTTGAGGATTCACAGGCAAAAGAAACCACAATGTTACACTCAAATGCAGTTAAAAGAAAAGTTTAGCCGGGCGCGGTGGCTCAAGCCTGTAATCCCAGCACTTTGGGAGGCCGAGGCGGGTGGATCACGAGGTCAAGAGATCGAGACCATCCTGGTCAACATGGTGAAACCCCGTCTCTACTAAAAATACAAAAAAAAAAATTAGCTGGGCATGGTGGCGCGTGCCTGTAATCCCAGCTACTCAGGAGGCTGAGGCAGGAGAATTGCCTGAACCCAGGAGGCGGAGGTTGCGGTGAGCCGAGATCGCGCCATTGCACTCCAGCCTGGGTAACAAGAGCGAAACTCCATCTCAAAAAAAAAAAAGAAAAGTTTAGCCAGATGCGGTGGCTCACGCCTGTAATCCCAGCACTATGGGAGGCCAGCATGGGCAGATCATGAGATCAGGAGTTAGAAACCAGCCTGGCCAACATGGTGAAACCCCGTCTCTACTAAAAATACAAAAATTAGCTGGGCGTGGTGGTGGGCGCCTGCAATCCCAGCTACTCAGGAGGCTGAGGCAGGAGAATCATTTCAACCTGGGAGGCGGAGGTTGCAATGAGCTGAGATGGCGCCATTGCACTCAGCCTGGGTAACCAAAAAAAAAGTGTAATGATCAAAACTTTGCAGAAGATTATAATGGTTAACTTAGCAAAGGCTAACATGGGAGAAAAGGGAAACACACACACACACATATATGTATATCCCACTTCACTCAGAGCAAGACCCAAAGTCCTCAGGATGTGCTCCCGAAATCATTCCATGTGGACCTGCCTCCCTTGCCTCCCTTACCTCCTCTCCCAGCTGCTCTTTGCTGGCTGGGTTCAAGTTTGTATTGAACTTGTGCTGATCCCTGCAGACCTGCCCCCAGCCTGGCACCTGTCCCACCCCTCCCTCTCCCTGAACCCTCTTCTTCCAAATGCTTTTATGGCTCAAGTTCTTTCTCCTTCAGTTCCTTATTCAGATTTGTTTTTTTCTTCACACCTCCACCGACCAACACGCTGAAAATTCCAAGCGCCTAGCCCTCCTAGCCCTCATCCATCTCTGCTTTCATTTCTCTCCGTAACATTTAACACCATGTGACATACTATCTATCTTACACTTTTTTTTTTTTTTTTTTTGAGATGGAGTCTCGCTTTGTCTCCCAGACTGGAGCGCAGTGGTGCAATCTTGGGTCACTGCAACCTCCGCCTCCTGGATTCAAGTGTTCAGGTGATTCTCCTTCCTCAGATTCCTGAGTAGCTGGGATTACAGGTGCCCGCCACCATGCCTGGCTAATTTCTGTATTTTTAGTAGACACAGGGTTTCACCATGTTGGCCAGGCTGGTCTCAAACTCCTAACCTCAAGTGATCTGCCTGCCTCGGCCTCCCAAAGTGCTGGGATTACAGGCGTGAGCCACTGCATCAGCCAAAGACTTTTATTTTTTTCTTTTTCTTTTTTTTTTCTTTTTTCATGACGACTTTTGTGCCAGACTTTTCATAAAGCATGGGATGTGCTGCCTCCTGGTTCCCTTTGCAGCGCCTTCCTGCCAGCCCTGGCTGCCTCTGTGCCTGCTGTTGAGGGTGGCATAGGCTTTATCTTGTTGACATCACTGTATTCCAGGGCTCTTTGTTATATCAGCTTAACCTGTAGGAATGTCCCAGCTAATGAGGTGGAGGCCCCGAGCTACCAGTAAGTTTACCTGGCAGCCGTCATTCCCGAGAGGCCATCTGCAGACACTCCAGTAACCCAGCCTCCTAGCTAGAGCCAGCAAGACACCAGGCATGTGAGTGAAGCTACCTCGGACCTTCCAAATCAGTCTGCCCACCAGCTGAATACTGCCAATGACCTCTGTCAAAGTCACACGGAACAGAAGACTTGTGCAACCAAGCCCTGTCTGAATTCCTGACCTGCAAACTCATGATATGTAATAAAATTGTTGTTTAAAGCCAGTTAGGCAGAAACAGAGTCCTCAAATAGGCATTGCTGGGCCGGGCGTGGTGGCTCATGCCTGTATTCTCAGCACTTTGGGAGGCCGAGGCGGGCAGATCACCTGAGGTCAGGAGTTCAAGACCAGCCTGGCCAACATGGTGAAACCCCATCTTGAAAAAAAAAATTAGCTGGGCATGGTGGTGCATGCCTGTAACCCTAGCTACTCAGGAGGCTGAGGCAGGAGAATTGCCTGAACCCAGGAGGCGGAG